TCAGTGATGTATCTAGAACTTCCAGAAGGCCTTGAGTGACTTTTCTTTCGTAAAATTGGTCTGATGTAAATGAAAACCTGATTGGTTGGTTCTTCTGTCAGTTCTGATTTATGTTGGCGTGTAAGGTATGTAAGGCCTCCAGAAATATCCTGATAAAATTATTACTACGATACTTGCAGAGTTTAAATACAACAATTATGATGATTCCAATAAAGAAAAATGAACTAACAATTACAGATAGGTATTTTTTTATGTCACAGAATTCATTAGGCCTCCTCTCAGGGCCTAGACGGTCCTGAGGGTTCTCCACTGATGATATTACAACAATTACTGCCATATTTTTCCTAATCTACACAGTTTTGACTGTTTTACTCAAAGTAGTCAAACAACAAAACCATTCATTAAAGAAACACAGCTGCAGTTATGGGAGCCCCTGATTCTGAACTTTATCAGACACTTTTAGCTTTTAAAAATGATTCTCATTCAGTCCACCAGTAGGCAGAAGACCTGTGTAGGTTCACTGGTGGTTTTGGATAGTAAACAAAATGTCTATATTTGTGTTGAACACATAGTGACCCCTGCTTCCTATCAGCACCACTGTAAAGAAAGTCGTTTTGTTATATTGAGCCCTTTTACCTCAGAACACTCTAAATGACACATCAAAGACTGAATCATGCAGCAATTTTGGAGAAGTCTTTGGAATTCCCTGTTAACTGCTGTTTTTCTCTGCTTTTCCTCCTTTTTCACTGTACATATCACTGAAATATGCGGCACTGTTTACAGTGATCTTCACTTCACCATCATTTGCTTTCCGGACACCAGTTCATGATCGGTTAAGCAGTTTCCAGCATTTTTACACAGAATTACAAGATACACACAAAAAAATGGGTGAGTCAGGCGTGAAGCGGAGGCCAGAGGAAGAAACGCAGCTGGGGCGAGATTAGTAGAAGGGAAATGAAAACAGCATGACTAGGCAAACTTGAGGATTCATTTTCCTGCAGGCGGCAAGTGGGGGACGAGATACCGACTTGCATGTATGATCCACTCTTGGTCCATTACAAAGACAGAAGGCATAGCACACATTTAGCCAGCGGTCATATTTCAACGTGAATTTAACACTGAAAGGGCCCATATCATGAAAAACTAATTTGATTTAGTACGTAAACGTTAATATAGAAATGCCTGGTTATTGCCCATATATGGAAGCTAAGGCACAAAAACAGCATTATGAACAGCTTTTGAATTCATTGGTTTTGTGACATCACAACCATCACAAACATGCACTTAGAAATATCCAGCAATACAGCCTACAGCAGTTTAGCTCCACCTGAAGTTATAAGGAGTGTTTCAGCCTGGACTGCTTTTTCAAAAAAGGGCACAATTTAGAGCTCATTTACATGTATCAGCAAAGGCGCAGTAACCAAAACAGCTTCTTGAATTCTAATGCTGTGTTTACATGTTGGCGTCGAAAAAAATGTTTTTCTGTGTCCTCAAAGCGTTGCCATGGTTACATTGTTACCAGCGAAAATGAGTGATTCTCAGAGAGAAACATTTGCAATGTAGATTGTCTATTTAAGGTGGATAAAAGCAGGAGGATGTTCTGTAATGTTTTGTTGTACATATAATTTAAAATTAATAATTGTCTTTTATACAGCGTGTCTGGAATTCAACGATAAGACTTTTAGCATCCATGTCTATTTAGCATCTGGTTTATTTGACCGCAGGAAAGAGAGCAAAAGTTGAGAATACTGAACTGAAAGTTCTGTTGTTCCAGTTTCCATCCCTGCTTCATTGAAAACAGTGGAATATCTGGTTTGTCACTGACCATCTGCCAACTTAATGTAAACACAGCATAAGTGATAAAAATAGGTTGTAAAATGGTGATGTAAAAATGAATTATGACTGTTTTTGACTTTACATGACCATTTTTTAACCACCTCTTGAAAATAAAATTTATAAATGTAAGAAAATGTATAATATGGGCCTATTTCTGCCCACAACATATGTTTGATGTCATAATTTCTAAACACAAGATCTATTTTAATATGTAAAGAACATAAACTAACAGCTAACTGATTTTTGTTATTGTCACAAAGCACCATTTTCAACAAATTAAATTTATAATAATATATTTTACACTTAAGTGGTCTTTTATTGTTGCCCTGATGAAACAGATCAATAAGCGTTTTCATAGTGACGTCAACTGCATTCTGAACATGTGCACTCACTTGCTCAGAAACTGTCACAGTGCAGCTAACAATAAAGGCAGCGTTGAGCTTCTTTTACACAGTGATAGGAAACACAGTAGCACACAGAAAGCTGCAGTTCCACATGCTCCATTTTACTGACCCTACATGGACATTCATGCTCACTAACTACTCTTGGGGCAGAGTTTAAAGAGTTAAAGAGGACAAAGACAAAGACTCTGCATGTAGGCAGCACATAAGGATTAATTATGACATGATATATCATGATTTATCATGATGTAAGTGGTGATAGAGCTGTTGTTACTCAGCACATTATGGGTAATATGAGTCAGTCGCAGTTCAGCTTAGCATGTCTATGCAATGTTAGTAAATGGAAAAGTTGAAAAGACATGCTATTTTAGTTCTGATCGAACCTAGTCATGCACTTTCCTTGCAGTTTCCTTTTCGTTAGAAGCAATCATCATATAATGAGGGATCCAAAGCCACACTGGCTGCATCAAGTATGGATGAGTTTGCGTGCTTGCGCATACTGGCTCATGCTGTGTCTGAATTTGCCCTCTCAAATGCATTTTGCAATCTTTTAGATGATGAAACACTGTCTGGATTACACAATCCACAACACTGGATTTAATTCCTGGAATTACAAGCAACAACAAGCTTGGCATATATCAGAACATGTATAGTTTTCTATTGGGTCTAAGCATGTGCTTTTATTATTTAGATTACTGTAAGTACTGAAGAAACAAAGACAGCTCCAGCGCAAAATTAGAGTCAAAGTAAAAAACAACTCATAGAGCAACTTAAAATAATCACTGATAATCACCGTTGTTTTTGCTGTTCGGCCTTTATGTACATTACCATACCAAAGTTAGAGACCCTTCATTGATTTATTTTCCAGTTAAAACAGCCATTAAGTACAAGTTGTCAGTGTCAGGAAAAAAGATAAACAGAAAATTACACAGAAACCTTGATAACTAAATACAGTATGATATTTCTATCATTTGACGTGTCCATTCTTTATGTATTACAGCCTCCTTTCTTTTCAAGAGACTCGCTTTCAGTTTTTTAACAAAATCTGCAGCCACATCTCCAAAGTTCAGTCTTAGAAGTTGGTCGAATTTTCAGCTTCTCACTATCCGAGTAATCTCTAACATATTCAGTGATGTTGAGGTCTGGATGCTGGGGTGGTCAGTCCATTGTTTTGAGAAGACCAGCAGCTGCTTTGTTTGATGTGCCTGTTTCCTTTTCTCAGTGAGTGTGTTTACATGCACTTAATAATTCGATAATTACAGAAAATCAGATTTTGTCAGTAATCTGATCAATGCGTTTACATGCACTTGAGTAATCAGATATTAAGGAAACTCTGGGTCTACAGTAATCAGATTGCTGCCTTGCAACCAGCCAATAAACTCGCAGAAGACGACGTGACGTAAACGTATTGTAAAACTCAATCTTCATGAACGCAGCTTTTTTTTAAACATCGAGCCACTTTACCCAAAAATATGAACATACATCATTTAGAAGATGAAGAATATTTTAATACTTCTTTTGTCAAGCATGTAGTCCGTTTCAGCGTCACTCCAAAAAAGTTTTGCTGCCATCTGGCAGCAACGCTGCTCACTTATTTCCGGTACCGCTGTCTGTTTTCGCACATGCACAGACTGAGAAATCTGAAAGAAATCAGAGTAAGAGTTTATATGCACTAAGAAATCTGATTACTGAGCTAAAATCTAGCTCTCTCTATCAGATTTCTTCATCGGATTACTAGACCTTACTCTGATATGAGAAATCGGACTATGATGTTTACATGACCATTTGAGCAATTGGATAACTGCAGAAATCTGATTATGATCGGATTATTGAGTTTATGTAAGTGTACTCATTGAGGGCTCCTTGGCAGCTACACGTCCTTTTAGACCCATAGTGCTGAGTCGTCTTCTCACAGTGGAAGGATGGACAGAAACACCTGTGGATGTTTTCAGACCTGAAGCAGCTTGATTTTCTCCTCTTTCTCAAAGATGAAAGCTTTAAGTGCTGTTTATCTGACGGGGGCAGTTTTGGTGTCTATCAGGTCTTACAGGTGGTTGTTAGGAGTCTCATTTTCTCTGTAGCTTTTATTAATTTTGAAAAGTTTTTTAATTTCCTGAAGTTAGTTCCCGTAAGTTGTATTGAATGACTGTTTTGACTGGAAATTGCAGGGTAATCTCTGGCTTTGCACATTTCTTTGTACTCTCAAAGAAATAGGTCCTTAGATGTGTTTTTGTTGATATATCAACTAGTTATATCATGTGGAAGTCCTTTACGTTTTAAAAAGGTTCTTCACACACACATCCTCAGGGAACATGCCTCAGGGAACCAAAAGAGGTTCTTCAAGGGGTTTGTTAGTAAAGAAACTGGTTCCTTATAGAACCATGAACACTCAAAAAAAAAACCTTGCATCATTAAAACGTCCATTGTGAAATTGTTCTTAAGATTGATGGAGAATGTGCTGTTGATGGTTCTATACTGAACCTATTTGAAAAGCGTTCTATATAGCACCTAAAAGAGTTCATCTATAGCTGCAGGCTTGACATCGTAACAATAGCAGAAACCTTTTTGGGTGCTATATAGAACACTTTTTAGAAAGGTTCTATGTAGAACCATCTATAACACTCTGCAATTTGCAATCTGAAGAACTCTTTAATGATGCAAAGAACCCTGGTTCTACAGTGTTCCTGGTTCTACATTGAATTATTTTCTTTACTAAAGAATCCTTGAAGAACCAACTTTTGTAAGAGTGTAGCATTGCTCCAGAGAAGTTTTATCTTTTCATCTAATTTTTAAAAACTTGGGTTGAGAAATGTATTTTACTGAATTTTACTGTAATAATTCTACTGTATTAAATCCGTTTCTAAGCACATACAATTTCAGAGCTACATTATTTCAGTATTAAGAAGAGAAAAGAAAATAATTGAAGCAGGAAGCACATGATCAAAGTTCTGCCATATTGTTGCTGCTTAGCTGTATTTCATACCTGTCATGCAATATAACACAATGCATTTGCATACAAAATGTCACTGAGCTGCAGTACTTTGTATCACCCAATACAATAAATTCATTACAGTTTGCATAGGTTTCCTCTTTCTCCTAGCATACAGAATTTGAGATCAAAATGTACAAGCAAAATATATATTAGCAAATATGATTTAATACATAAGTTAATTAGTTCCCTTATTATTTAACAAATTATTGAATTGATTGGGGAACTGTTCAATATCGTGGACATGTCTGTAACGCAGCTTGTAACAAAGTGCTACCTTTCCTTCCTTAGACAGACTTTATGTTAATTTGGTAGTTAGTTTAGACATTTAGCTCATTTAGTAGACAGTTATTGAAAGTTTTCTCACAACAATAGAAATATTTAAAATGATTCTATAAACTGTATATAGTGAAGTTATTATCCAAGTAATGAAAAAGTGCAGAGTAAGACCTGTGCAACACTGTAAGACAAACAAATGGAACCTTCTCTTTTTCCTTAGCACTCAGCACCTGCTGTTCCTCAAGGTTCCATAGTAGGCCCTATTTCATTTATTTGTCACAGGCCTCATTAAAATTATCACAGAAATCACCAGCACTGAAATGAATGTGCACTCCATGGCAACTTCAAGCTTCAGTTGTGTGCAGTAAAAAATTACATTAAAAGCAAACCACCGTTCACTCTGCCCACAAAGCCCAGTCTGCTTTTGTGTTGAGATTAGAAGTTCAGGCGTGGTCTGGTCTTATCCAGCCAACTCCTTCTTTTCATAAGAACCAGTGTATAAAGTTTTCAGTGACCACACTATTGATGAATAGGGACAAGACTGATTAGTCTAATGCAGTCTCATCTTCCAAGTTTGAAGTGATGCTAATGGGTGCTAAGTTCATGGGATCTGTTGAAATGGACCATGTTGGACATATCCTGCTTGGTGGAAGTCTCTGTGGGTGACTCCAGCCCTCCATTAGCCATGTGCTTGCGGCCGAGGGTGGCAGTGAGCTTCCTGCGGAAGACGCGGCACAGGAAGACGTAGATGAGAGGATCCAGACAAATGTTGGTGGCAGAGAGCCAGAGCGTAGTCTCCTTGGCTAAGTAGAGCTGGTTCTGAGCCCAACAGTGGGCGGACGTGCCTCGCGTCTGAGTGAGCGTGTAGGGCACTCTGGCCAAGTGGAAGGGCGCAAAGCACACAAAAAAGACTCCGACCACCACAAACACCTGAGAAGAGAAGAAGGGTTGAGATCCATTCTACAACAAGGAAAGAGCAGGTTTGTAACTTAATATCACACACAGCTCAGTTTCAACTTTCTTATTTATGAACATGACAAATCATATAAAAATGACCACACACTGCATTTCATGAATTCTGTAATTTATGGAAGTTATTAAATGAAGAACTAGTTCAATTGTCTGTGCTAAACAGGCTTTTTTTGGGTAGGTACAGTAGAAATATTTTAAAAGATCCAATAAACTGCATATATTAAAGTTTGTATCCATCTAGGAAAAAAGTGCAGAGTAAAACCTGTGCAACATTTGAAAATGAACAAATGGAACCTTCTCTTTTTCCTTCCAGCACTCAGCACCTGGCGTTCCACAAGGTTCCATAGTAGGGCCATTTATTTCTCACAGGCTATTTTAAGACCTCATTAATTTCCAGTATGTAGGACAGTTGAACAGCTCTGCAGCTATGCTGTGTATGATTGGTCATCGTCTGCAAGCTGCTGCATCACTATCATCATGTCACACAGAGGTAGCCAGTGTGGAAAAAGGACTGGTTTGTTGGATGAAGCAGTATTGGAGCAATTTCGGAGTGAGAGAGACCGTAGACGCTCCAACTTTCTAAAAAGCTGCTCCACACTCTGAGCAAAGTCAAACCACTCCACTCCCTGCTCTGCTTCCACTCTGCACCGCTTGTATACTCTGGCATACAGGTGCCAGAATGTAACTCATGCATCATTTGAAGTGTAAGAGAAAATTCAAATAAGAAGCAAATAGAAAGCGAAGTTCAGCCTTGTGTAACTGCAGTGGTTTGTGAATAATGCAAATAGAATGTTGGTGAATCATTAAAATAGTATTAGTATTTGCTAAATACAACCCTGTTTCCAGTTGGGAAACTTTGCAAAATGTAAATAAAAACAAATGACTTTTCAAAAAGTTGTGACAGGAGCATGTTTACCACTGTGTTGCACCACTTCTTCTTTTAACAACACTCTATAAGCATTTGTGAACTGAGGAGACCCACTGCTGTATAATTGAAAGTGAAATCTTTTCCCATTCTTGCTTGATTTCAGCTGCTCAACATTTTGGGGTCTCCTTAGTCATATTTTTCATTTCATCATGTGCCAAATGATTTCAATGGGTGACAGGTTTGGGCTTCACACAGGCCAGTTTAACACCCAGACGAAGCCATGCTGTTGTAATATATGCAGAATGTACTTTGGCATGATCTTGCTGAAATAAGCAAGGCCTTCCCTAAAACAGATGTCTGGATGGCAGCAGTTACTCCAAAACTTGTATTTATTGTTCAACATTAATGTTACCCCCATACCATCACGGATGCTGACTTTTGAACTGTGCGGTAATAACAACTTTTCCACTTCGCTTGGGCCCAGAGAAGGTGGCAGTGTTTCTGGATCCTGTTTATATATGATTTCTTCCTTGCATGGTAGAGCTTTAACCTGCATTTGTGGATGCAGTGATAAACTGTGTTCACAGACAGGGGTTTTTGAAGTGAAGTGAGCCCATTTCCATTACATATTTTTTTTGGAAAAAGAGTTGCATAGCACTGTATATGTAGCTATAAATAAATTTCATTTCTCTCCTTTCTTCACATGATGTAAAAACATGTACACAGCACAGTGACATACTCTAAAAGCCAACCCATGCGATACTGTGTGATCATAGCCAGAACAGCTTTGAGCAAAATTAGGGTATAACGTAAAATGCCATTAAGTTTTATCAATTTTCAAAGTAGTAATTATGATGCAAAAGGGCGAATGTGCCCCCTAGTGGTGTAGAGTGTGGGCTTGCCAGGTCTGGGATTACCAACTGCAGACCTAAGGCCTCTATTGTCAAAGCTAAATGCCTAGATCATCTGTAAAATTTAGAAAACAAATAAATGCAGTTGATTGCATGTGAAGATCTACTGTTAGATTAGAATCTTCCCTGTCATTAGAGGAGTTTTACATGCTTTTATCACTTCCCATCTTAACTACTGCGGTTCTCTGTTTCGGAAACTTTCTATATTTCCAGTCTACTAAGTTTACATTACACTCCTAGGTCTTTTTCAACTCTTACAGCTGTTGTTAATTCCATACTTAAAGGCTGACTATGCTCTATCTGTTGCTGCATATGGATCTGAGGGTGATACACGGACAGCATTTCGGAAATCTGTGAAGCAAAATTCTGAAAAATTGGCCATTACTTTAGAGTAGAAAAAAGAACAGCCCATTGCTTTAAAAACTGGAGTTTGATTCTAGTTTCGAGTGAAAGTTTCAAAACAAACCCACATTCAACCCACAGTGCATACAGTCATATGCAAAAGTTTGAACACCCCAAGTCAAAGGCAAGGCTTTGTTGATTTTCTGTGTGAATTTTCTAACACAGCCTCTACAGGGAACTTGAACATGCCATTTTTTCCTGCAAATTGTAGTGCACAGTTTTTGTGTAATATATTCAGAAAATGGTGCCATAACTTTTGCACAACCTACATTTTATGTTTTATTTTTTCCCAATATATCAAATTCAGCAAATAAACCGTAATTATGCTTTAAAATGTGCACAAGTTTGTCCGCTGGGGAGAATGTTTACTTTTTTCTCACTCAAAAAATCAACAGTGTGTTTTGACAAAGGGCGCCAAGACTTTGCATATGGCTGTATATGGAAATCAAGCTGAAAAAAGAGCTTGTTTTGAATTTTGAACACAATGTATTTACGTATATGTTTATATATATATCTGTGTGTTCAGCCTACAGCGGTTTAGCTTGGCCCATTCACACTGAAGTTATTAGAAGTGTTTCAGCCTGAACTGCTTTCTAAATGTAGCCCAATAGAGGGTAGCCAATCAGAACAGAGGTCATTTACATTCATCAGTCGCAAAGGCATAAAAACAAACAACCTGTTTAATTCTAAGAAATAAAAACAGGCTCGAAAACGGTCATGTATAAATGAATTACAGCAAACACATACAGTTGTTTGCAAAAGTTTTGGCGCCCCTGGTCTATTGACATGTATTGTTGATTTTCTAAGTGAAAATAAGATAAGATAGTCCTTTATTAGTCCCACAACAGTGAAATCCACAACAATAAGTAAACACATCCTCGCACACTTCTGCACTTTGTCATGCACAGTTACTGTTTATTTGTTGAATTTAACATAGATAAAAAAAAAACGTGGGCTGTGCAAAGGTTATGGCACACTTTATGTTTTGTTTTTCAACATGTTAAACTCAGCAAGTAAATAGAAACTGTGCAGTGAGGGAGAGTGGGGTAAGATGAGCCAGTGGATAAGTTGACCCACCACTTGTATCTGGGCAACTATACACATTTTTTGTCACATGACTCTAAATTTTATTTGTTTTCTCTGTTTTCATCTTGCTGTGGAAGGAAGAACCATGTGGATGAATGCTAAGCATATTTTGTCAATTTTTTTTTTGTTTTAATCAGTCACATTAAAAGTAATTAATCTCCGTTTGAACAAATTACATTAGACACGTCATTAGAACTGCCAGTGTGTAAAAACAAAACATGTGGGTGAATTAGCATAAGTGTAGCTCTGGGTTGCTAGTTTAAGCACTTTTCCCAAAATGGTGGCTGTGGGGCAAAATGAGTAAGAGTCTTGGAGGTCAGTTCAACCAGTTGTTCATCTTAACTGCCTAATGTTTACATAAAGTTAAGTGAAATATTTTGTGTTTAAATTAGTATTGTGCCCTAAAAATGAATAGCTGATGCTGTATTTCATGTTTTTTGGGTGCAGTGGGTGGCGCTGTCACCTCACAGCAACAAGGGCCTGGGTTTGATTCCCCGGCCAAGCAACCAGGGTTTTTTCTGCATGGAGTTTGCATGTTCTCCCCGTGTCTGAATGGGTTTCCTCTCACAGTCTAAAGACATGCAGTCAGGCTCATTGGAGATGCTAAATTGCCCCCTAGGTGAGTGTGAATGTATCTGTCTGTGTTGTGAGCTGTCCAGGGTGTTTCCTGCCTTCTGCCCAATGAGTGCTGGGATTGGATCCAGCACCCCCCATAGGAGAAAAAGTGGCTTGGATTATGTGTGTGTTTCACATTTTAGATGCAGCATAACGGCGGTTATGCCACGTAATTATAGAAGAAAAAAAAGTTTTTCATAAATCAGTGCTTGTAGCTCTAATTTTTGTTTACCTTTTTGTGAATGACATAGAATCGTCACTCTGGTTTTGCCATTTTGAATAGCATTTTTTGTACGTATGTGACATGTTAGTTAGAGACTTGGTAAACCATTTGCAGGCTCCTGAACTGTAGGCAAATTAGTTATAATATTTATCTCATATATTAGTAATATTATATTTAGAATTATATTTTAACATCTTGTTGAAACAGCAGTTAGTAATGTTTTTCATAGATGGCTCAACTTACCCTGTTAGCTGGATCAGCTTACCCCTAACATGGGTTAAGTTGAGCCACAAGACAACTTTTTTTCAGGACCCCATATTGTGAAAATCACATGCTGTACCTTAGACTTGGTGCGTTTGCTGGCAGTGCCGGAGCTGCTCTTTGAGGCGCGGTACGACTCGTACACTTTCCGGCTGATGAAGGTGTAGCAGACAGCCATGAGGCCCAGCGTGCCCCAGAACACCACCTGGCACAGGTAGTTGAACCCCTCGTGCCATTGCAGGCCGAGCTTGCTCTTCATGCTGCTGCACTTCAGCCTCCCACTGCTGGACATTCGCGGCTCCTTGTCGCTCAAGATCACGTTGGGCAGAGCCAGGGACAGCATGACGGCCCAGACCACGGCACACATGACCCGGCCCACGCGCACCCGCTGCAGGTAACACTTGCCAAAAGGCCGCACGATCTTCAGGTAGCGGTCCAGGCTGATGAGGCCCAGCAGCAGGATGCTGATGTACATGGTGGTGTAGAAGAGTACGGCCGAGTAGCGGCACTGGAAGGCACGAAGAGGGATTGAGCCCACGCCTGCGTCTGTCAGCACCTTCACAGAGAAACACAGTGTGATGACATCACCAATGGACTAATAATACTGGTAAACACTACAGAGCCATCAAGATGCTCCTTTACCTTTTAGAAATGCACATTATTGCTGGTATTTGAAATAATTTCTGAACCAACGATTATAAGATATAATAATATTATAAGATAAAATATTTTGTCAGAAACTAAATTTGATGGAAAGATATTGTTGTGCCACAACACATTTTACCATGTTTTTTGCCAAAAAACTCAGAAATGCAGACTCAAACCTACTGCAAAAGAATGTAATCACCTCTACAATAATGCTAGTTTCTCCAAGCCCCCTTATTGGATTTCCAATAGTATGTTAGCACTAATCTAATGCAGGTGCACATAAACATTTTTGAGCCATTCTAGATTAAACACAGATTAAACAAAGAGATTCCATATGTTTCACTGGAAGCTTGTAACAGATGTTACTGAATGTTAGCGTTAACATAATGTCAATATATTTTTTACCTCATATGTATAAGTTTCACAGTGACTCTTTCAGTAAAGAGTTCTGCCCTAGAGCTGCCGCCACTGTTTTCTGTCTCTAATAAGTGACTTAAACCTTATTAGACCACGGCTCCTTTTCACAGTCAACGAGGTATCTAGAACATCCAGAAAGTCTAGAGTGACATTTCTCCTCACAAAAGTTGGTACCACCCTTTGGAAATCAGAACGTGATCGGTTAATTTCTGTCACTTCTTCATTATGCTGCCAGTCATGTGGTAGTTTTATCAGAAGAGGAACTCATTTATCCGGTGTGCACGTTCATGTGGTTTGTGTGGGTAGGAAAACAAAACTTGGTGGATGTGAAATAGTTCATGTGCTTGATTATCTAGCAAGCCTCTGTTGGTTTTGGCCTATTTTAAGTGTTTTGAACACAGGCTAAGCAGAACAAAATTGTGGGTTAATTGTACATATTTGCTTTCCTATTACCATTTATGATGTTTTTGCAGTCACACCCCTGGTCAAATGCCATGTTTTGTTGATTTTCTAAGTGAAAAAATTTTACCTTAAAATCCCAGGCTTATTACATACTAAGGCTTATTATTCAGTAAATATACAGACTTTAATACAAACTGGCTGAGCTACTGTTAGGTTATAGAAGTGTATAGTAAAGCTTTGGTCCCACTGATGGGCCTGGACATTTAGGGGGTTAACTCATCCTCTACAGAGAACGCACTTTTGCGCATTTAAAAATAACAGCAAATAAAAAAAGAAAGGAAAAAAAAAAGAAATTGAGAGCTAACATTTACAGCTTATTTCTGTTTGTCTCTGTAGAGGATGTGAAACTTGTATACTTGCTTATGACTATACAGTGACATTTGATCACTGTATGTTGAAGAACTGTTTTATTCCTCCACTATGATGAAAACAGTGTTGATGTCTCAACTTGGCCAATTCCTTCTGTATTAATAAAAAATTTCAATTACCTGACTTTGTCGTCCGACTTTGAATGGCGTTCATGAGGCGCTTAGTGGTGGGAAACTCATTTTTCAGATAAAACTAAGACCACTTGAACAGCATCAATCTTACATGTTCTTGCAGGATTTCGTTCCAGCTCCTGAAGGCCTAACCAATGAGAGGGCTATCTTGACTGTGTCTACCTACATACCACTGAGAAAAATCTTAACTGGACAGCTTTCTGTTGGGCAATTCAAGATCTTAATCATTCGACACTAAATACACATGAAAAAACACATGAACACTAAATAAAATAAAAAATTACAGCCATGTATTTTTTAGTCCCCAATTATTAGGTCATCTCTGAAGGGCTAGAAGGTTTTCAGGGTTCCCAACTACATTTAGCCATATAATTACTTAATCACATTTTAAAGGACCTACAAATTGACCCATATGGTCAAATTTAAATCCAACAAGTCCACCTCCACCTTTACTGGCACGGTCAGGGTCATCAGCAGGTCGGCCACCACCACGTTCTTCAGGTACACCACGAAGGTGGAGCTGCTGCGGATTTGAAAGAAGATCCAGGCTGCCAGGCAGTTGAGCACAATAGCAGCCAGGAAGAGGGCGGTGTAGAGGCAGGGGAAGAGGATGGAGGTGACCCTGGTGTTCAGCTCACACTGCAGGGAGGCGTTCTGTTGACTCGCGTTCATCCTGGTGCCCAGCTTCAGCTGGAGAATATAAAAACAGCTGTGACATCTGCTCCAGAAAAGGGGAAGTGGTGGATTTCACTACAAGCAGACACCCTAACACCTTGTCCAGCGGTGCACAGCTCTGGTCCGGGGGGTGGGGCAGTGTCTGGCACAGTTTGGTAGTTCCCCTCATCAAACACACCTGCTAGGCCTGGTAATTAACACATGAAAGTAATAAGGTGTGTGTGAGCAGGAAAATCACCAAACTGTACTGGACACCAGAGTTGTGCACTCTTGACTTAGTAACACTGTGAAAATACACTCCAGGGGAACATAACCTCCCTCCACACACACACACACAAACACACACACAAACACACAAACACACACACACACACACACACACACACAAACACACAGACACACACACACAAAAACCACAGTGAGAAAATAATATCTATGTCATCACTTGCAAAACGTGACCCCAAGTCAAAACCTCATGAGAAATTTCTCACAGCTGCATCTTCCACACGATTTACATGCATAATGCGTAATTACAATGTAATATTAGAATATATATAAAAAAAATTATATATATCTATATATATATATATATATATATATATATATATATATGTGTCTGTGTGTGTGTGTGTGTGTGTGTACACCAACTGACCATATAGCAGCACTTTGTAGTTCTACAGTTACAGACTGTAGTCCATCTGTTTCTCTGCATACTTTGTTAGCCCCCTTTTACCCTGTTCTTCAGTGCTCAGGACCCCCATGGACCCTCACAGAGCAGGTACTATTTGGGTGGTGGATCATTCTCAGCACTTCAGTGACACTGACATGGTGGTGGTGTGTTAGTGTGTGTTGCGCTGGTACAAGTGGATCAGACACAGCAGTGCTGCTGGAGTTTTTAAACACTGTGTCCACTCACTGTCCACTCTATTAGACACTTCTACCTTGTCAGTCCACCTTGTAGATGTAAAGTCAGAGACGATAGCTCATCTGCTGCTGTACAGTTTGTGTTGGTCGTCCTCTAGTCCTTCATCAGTGGTCACAGGACGCTGTCAGCTGGATATTTTTAGTTGGTGGTCTGTTCTCAGTTCGGCAGTGACACTGAGGTGTTTAAAAAATTATCCACCACCCAAATAATTATTGCTCTGTGGGGGTCCTGATCATTGAAGAACAGGGTGAAAGGGGGCTAACAGAGAAACAGATGGACTACAGTCTGTAATTGCAGAACTACAAAGTGCTCCTGTATGGTCAGTGGAGCTGATAAAATGTACAATGAGTGTAGAAACAAGGAAGTGGGCTTACAAAAGTGGTTGGTTGGTGCATGTTCAACATTTGATACTTATATATATGTACATAACACATATATATGTTTTAAAATATGTCAGACTCATTATGAAATATAAATATTAGAGATGAAACGATATTAAAATTTCATATCACGATTATCATGACCAAAATTATCACGATTATCGATATTATCGCTATATTGTTCAAAAGCGTTGAAAAGTGAAATAAATAAATAATAAATAAATACTGATACACAAACTGAAACTCGTTTCACCAACTTTTTTATTAACACAGATAGAATTGGCAGCGATATGCACTTTTTGTTTGCATAAACATTAAATAAATATAGTCAATACATTTGTAGTATTACTTTTGTATTACTTACAATACTCTGTAAACAAAAGAATAGCAAATGTATTATTATTACTGTTATTACTACTATTATTATTACTGTTGTAAATAATAATAATAATTATTATTACCGTTGTAATTATTATTATTATGATTTATTACAATAATTAGGGATTTCCCTGCATAGAGAATTAAATCTGGACCAACTCTGAGGTGGGTCTTAATGGAAAACTACTACTTCTAAGAAGTGCTGCACTCGGGGGGTTTCTGTCCGAACTGCAACTGCAGCATTATTGTGCCGTTGTGGCGCTGAACCCCTAATCAATACAGCGCACCAGGAAAAACAGCCAAAATCACAGAGGAACTGCGTGACCGCGCTGTGAGCTGCAGACAGTGTAGAACTCACATAGCGGGTCTTCATCTGTGGAGCTGCTTCTCTAAAAGCATTTTAAAACTAAAACATAGCTTAAAATTAACGCGCATCTGAGCTGCGGCAGAAACACTCCTAAAGTTTAATCTCTGAAACTCTGCTTTTCCTAAAAGCAGCACGCAGCGTTTACTCGCGCAAGGTCCCGTCTCAAAGCACATTATCTTCCCTATGTAGTGCACTTCGTGGATCATGAAATAGCAAATCCTTCACCCAAAGAGTGCAGGAAATGTTCAACTAAGTCATCTATCATCAACATTAACAACAGGTTACAAATTCCCTATTTAAAACTCAATTGCTTGTTAATGATGATCGTGTTTGAACAGTAGCGCACTATGTAGGGGACACTGAGTGATTTGAGACGGTGTAATTCTCCTCTCAGACAGTAAACACTGCAAGCGAGAAAGGGGAGCTGTGCAGATTGAACTTCTGCAGCGTCTCGTTCCGGAGCTTGTGTGACTCTTAACTCAGAGCTCATTTTGGAGACGCTGCACCACAGAAATATGTGTTAAAAGCTTTAGTTTCGATTCACAGCTGATTCACCGATTGTTTTTCTTTTTTTGACGTTTAAAACTTCATTTTATATTATTAACGAACCATAAGCACAAGTTAAACCACACAAACCATGACATTTCTTCCATTTCGAAGTCCCCACAGACTTCTCCGTTAAAGTTAACCTTGCATTCTCTAAAAAGTAGCGGGTGGTGGTCGCGAAGATGACTCGTCAGGTTGGATGTGTTGCCCCCTTTCGCCGCTATTTTCTTTCGGCCTGTTCTGCAGACAGGGTGGTCATCTGCAGACAGGGTGGTCATCTTCAATTAACTTTCCTTCTGCATCCTTATAAAACCCAAAACATGACCAAACGTCAGACTTGGTCTTCTTAGAAGGCTGAAATATCTCCGAATCTCTGTCACTACATTCCGCGATGTTCTCCCTTCTCTACCCCTCCCCCCCTTCCCCTCTACATACACACAGAGCTGCGTCTGAGAGATGATTCTGCCTTTGTTTGATTCTGTGCAGCGAGTTTTTCACACCGCGGTAATCGACCGCGGTTTTAACGATACTTAATGATACTTAACGATAATGACTAACCGTCATTAATTTTACCGCGGTTTACCGTGAAACCGGTAACCGTCTCATCTCTAATAATTAAATAAATATATATATAATTTTTTTTTAGGTGTGTTTCAAGGACATCAGAATCTGGTGTAGATTCACTGCACAGCTTTGTCCATCAGCAGTTTTTGATATGCCATTAGTGTTACATGGAATTGCACACACATCGGATTCATACTGGATTAAAATGAACCCACAACAATTACTGCCAGGTTTTAAAATCTACACACCCTGTAAATTCATACTGGATGAGAATCATCCTAGAATTAGTACTGTAAAATACTACCCATGCTGCAGATTCATACTGGATTAAAATCACTCCTCAATTATTACTGTCAGACTGTAAAACTACACACGCTGCAGATTCATACTGGATTAAAATCACTCCTCAATTATTACTGTCAGACTGTAAAACTACACACGCTGCAGATTCATACTGGATTAAAATCACTCCTCAATTATTACTGTCAGACTGTAAAACTACACACACTGCAGATTCATACTGGATTAAAATCACTCCACAATTATTACTATCAGACTGTAAAACTACACACACTGTAGATTCATACTGGATTAAAATCGCTCCACAATTATTACTATCAGACTGTAAAACTACACACACTGTAGATTCATACTGGATTAAAATCACTCCACAATTATTACTATCAGACTGTAAAACTACACACACTGTAGATTCATACTGGATTAAAATCGCTCCACAGTTATTACTATCAGACTGTAAAACTACACACACTGTAGATTCATACTGGATTAAAATCACTCCACAATTCTTACTGTCAGACTGTAAAACTACACACACTGCAGATTCATACTGGATTAAAATCACTCCACAATTATTACTGTCATACTGTAAAAACTACACACACTGCAGATTCATACTGGATTAAAATCGCTCCACAATTATTACCGTCAGACTATAAAACTACACACACTGTAGATTCATACTGGATTAAAATCACTCCACAATTATTACTGTCATACTGTAAAAACTACACACTGCAGATTCATACTGGATTAAAATCACTCCACAATTATTACCGTCAGACTGTAAAACTACACACACTGCAGAATCATACCGGATTAAAATCACTCCACAATTATTACCGTCAGACTATAAAACTACACACACTGTAGATTCATACTGGATTAAAATCACTCCATATTTATTACCGTCAGACTGTAAAAACTACACACACTGCAGATTCATACTGGATTAAAATCACTCCACAATTATTACTGTCATACTGTAAAAACTACACACTGCAGATTCATACTGGATTAAAATCACTCCACAATTATTACCGTCAGACTGTAAAACTACACACACTGCAGATTCATACTGGATTAAAATCACTCCACAATTATTACCATCAGACTTTAAAACTACACACACCCTGCAGATTCATACTGGATTAAAATCACTCCACAATTATTACCATCAGACTATAAAACTACACACACTGTAGATTCATACTGGATTAAAATCACTCCACAATTATTACTGTCAGACTGTAAAACTACACACACTGCAGATTCATACTGGATTAAAATCACTCCACAATTATTACTGTCAGACTGTAAAACTACACACACTGCAGATTCATACTGGATTAAAATCGCTCCACAATTATTACTGTCAGACTGTAAAACTACACACACTGTAGATTCATACTGGATTAAAATCACTCCACAATTATTACTGTCAGACTGTAAAAACTACACACACTGCAGATTCATACTGGATTAAAATCGCTCCACAATTATTACTGTCAGACTGTAAAAACTACACACACTGCAGATTCATACTGGATTAAAATCGCTCCACAATTATTACTGTCAGACTGTAAAACTACACACACTGTAGATTCATACTGGATTAAAATCACTCCACAATTATTACTGTCATACTGTAAAACTACACACACTGCAGATTCATACTGGATTAAAATCACTCCACAATTATTACTGTCATACTGTAAAAACTACACACACTGCAGATTCATACTGGATTAAAATCACTCCACAATTATTACTGTCATACTGTAAAAACTACACACACTGCAGATTCATACTGGATTAAAATCACTCCACAATTATTACTGTCATACTGTAAAAACTACACACACTGCAGATTCATACTGGATTAAAATCACTCCTCAATTATTACCGTCAGACTGTAAAACTACACACACTGCAGATTCATACTGGATTAAAATCACTCCACAATTATTACCGTCAGACTGTAAAACTACACACACTGCAGATTCATACTGGATTAAAATCACTCCTCAATTATTACCGTCAGACTGTAAAACTACACACACTACAGATTCATACTGGATTAAAATCGCTCCACAATTATTACTGTCATACTGTAAAAACTACACACACTACAGATTCATACTGGATTAAAATCACCCCTCAATTATTACCGTCAGACTGTAAAACTACACACACTGCAGATTCATACTGGATTAAAATCACTCCACAATTATTACCTTCAGACTATAAAACTACACACACTGCAGATTCATACTGGATTAAAATCACTTCTCAATTATTACCGTCAGACTGTAAAACTACACACACTGCAGATTCACACTGGATTAAAATCACTCCTCAATTATTACTGTCATACTGTAAAAACTACACACACTGTAGATTCATACTGGATTAAAATCACTCCACAATTATTACTGTCATACTGTAAAACTACACACACTACAGATTCATACTGGATTAAAATCACTCCACAATTATTACTGTCATACTGTAAAAACTACACACACTGCAGATTCATACTGGATTAAAATCACTCCACAATTATTACCGTCAGACTGTAAAAACTACACACACTGCAGATTCACACTGGATTAAAATCACTCCTCAATTATTACCGTCAGACTGTAAAAACTACACACACTGCAGATTCATACTGGATTAAAATAATCACTTTAATTAATTTATAAATACCTCTGCAGGTCAACCTAATCCAGTCCAGGGCTAAAGAGTCACATATTTGGTAACACTGGACGTGACCTCACTGCAAAGCTGTCTCACAGCTCCTCAGCTGCTTCCTTATGCTCTGAGGACACTACAGGGACGGACTGATAAATTCTCCCAGTGGGGCATGGCCCAATAAGATAAAAGCGCTGAGTTAATGTGCTGCTTTATAATTCCAATATGATCGAATCATCAGAATCCTTCTGATATAACGCACCACATAGTCTTGTGTGCACAGCAGCGGCCCACTTTGTAGTGCATGTCAGCGCATCTGCAACACGTTTGGTGGTTTCATAGACGAGACAGGTGGCACATGTAGCATATTGGAAGCACAACTAGAGATCTGAAAGGAGGGTGATGACGTCAAGAAGTAGAACAGGAGCTATAAAAACAGCAATAAAACTTTGACCTGGAACAAAATATTTTAAATAACCAAAATTTGGCATATATACACACAGCCATGGTATAAAGGCAGATCCATGACATTTAGGATGTCAGAGACTGCATGTATAAGCACAACTGTGACATTATAGTGTAAGAGACACAGCCTTGTAATTTAAGATATACAAAATTTCCTATATAGGTGCAACCATGACATTTATAGTCTATTGTAAATATATTAAATGACTATTACTAAAAAGAATGTACTTCACCAAGAATACTTTGTTCATGTCTTGCACACAGAGTTTTTCAGTATATACTTTCAGTTTGCATTGGTGTCTGATAAGGAATGACACTTTTTTCAGGAATAAAATGAATTGTATATATAGTATATATCAATATATATGGTATATATCAAAAGTACGTCATATTACATTCATACTATATTAATTAAAAAAATAAATTGCATAAATATCCAAAATCTGATGCGTAAGATTAGAAACTCACCAGCTGCTGTTTGAAGAAGTGAAAACTCTTCTTTAGCTTCTGCTTGGCTCAAGCTGCCTTCAACCGCATGAGGATCAGTAAATGCCCCAACACCTCCCATCAGCTGAATGACTACTGCTCTATGGTTGTGGCCTGGATATGTGCAGACGCGCACACTCGCACCGGCGCGCACGTACACACAAATGCGCTTGTTTTTATGCAGTGCCAGGACATGGGGTCTAACATCCCCCTTATGCATAATATATGTGTATTATGTATCTCCAAAATCCTAACTTTACAGTTTTTAAATCCAAAATCTACTTTACTTTTAATGTAAGTCAATGGAACCAGAGTTTTCCCATGTAAAGGCTGTTTAATTTCATCCATTTATAATGAAATTTACACACAGTGTAAAGGGCAACAGACATTTTCAAATTACGTCAAAATCTAAAATACGTCAAAAATGGAGATACGAGGTTATGTTCCAACATATACATATATGTGTGTATGTGTGTGTATATAGGCAAGTAGCTGTATATTATAATAAAATATTCCATATGTATTATGTACCTACTACCTATAATGTCCTATATGTTTTATGTTTGTTTTATATATATGTCAACACCTTTATGTACTACTATATTTCGCGTTATATATATTTAAACACACATACACATATGCAATAATTTGATAATCTGTCCCATATTTATATGCGTGGGAGTTCACTGCTGCTCCCACAATCCCCTGGCAGACGTCCAGTACAACACTCATGGCTAACTTATCACTTGCGAACATGTCCACTACTGTGGAGACTGTTCATTTTGATCATCCCTCAAATGAGCTCTATAATCTCAAATGAGATTAATAATAATCATCTTGTTGATTTATCAGTCTACTCAGGCTTTAGCGGAGCTCAGTAACACTGAGATTAATAACTGATTATCACATTGATTTATCAGTCTACTCAGGATTTAGCAGAGCTCAGTAACACTGAGATTAATAACTGATTATCACATTGATTTATCAGTCTACTCAGGCTTTAGCGGAGCTCAGTAACACTGAGATTAATAACTGATTATCACATTGATTTATCAGTCCACTCGGGCTTTAGCGGAGCTCAGTAACACTGAGATTAATAACTGATTATCACATTGATTTATCAGTCCACTCGGGCTTTAGCGGAGCTCAGTAACACTGAGATTAATAACTGATTATCACATTGATTTATCAGTCCACTCGGGCTTTAGCGGAGCTCAGTAACACTGAGATTAATAACTGATCATCACATTGATTTATCAGTCTACTCGGGCTTTAGCAGAGCTCAGTAAAACTGAGATTAATAACTGATCATCACATTGATTTATCAGTCCACTCTGGCTTTAGCAGAGCTTAGTAACACTGAGATTAATAACTGATCATCACATTGATTTATCAGTCCACTCGGGCTTTAGCAGAGCTTAGTAACACTGAGATTAATAACTGATCATCACATTGATTTATCAGTCTACTCAGGCTTTAGCGGAGCTCAGTAAAACTGAGATTAATAACTGATCATCACACTGATTTATCAGTCTACTCAGGCTTTAGCGGAGCTCAGTAACACTGAGATTAATAACTGATCATCACATTGATTTATCAGTCTACTCAGGCTTTAGCAGAGCTTAGTAACACTGAGATTAATAACTGATCATCACATTGATTTATCAGTCTACTCAGGGCTTTAGCAGAGCTCAGTAACACTGAGATTAATAACTGATCATCACATTGATTTATCAGTCTACTCAGGCTTTAGCAAGAACTTCAGAGGTAAAGTTGTTAATTGAAGTCCTCTTTAGAATTTGTCTAATGAGCATGTTTGCTACACTGTGCACTGATTCTAAAATATAAAATATATTTGTACAAAAAAAATTACAGAAATATAAAATATAAAAAAGCACAATGCTGTTTCTTTTAAATTTGCAATTGTATGTTTTTTTTTAATTTATTGGGTAAGTATTGTAGGGTATTCTCCTAAAAATGTAAAAGCTAACTATATTCTAAATACTGCCTTTATAAAATATATTGTGGACTGAATAAAGACACTTAATTTCTGTATTCTGAATACATGTTCCCAATACTTTTATTCCATTACATCCCAGCCCTGAATATGTGTGATGATATCAGTGGGACCTGACCACAATAAGAGGGAGGCATTAATAAGAGAGTTCCATAGAAATGGCGGCTGTCTGTGACTTCTTTCAGGGGCTGGTTGGCTCCATGGTGATCCTGGGAGAGGGTGCAGCAGCTAAAAGCTAACATGTGGGAAGAAATGAGTTAAACAAAACTACAGCTTAATGTATGCTTACTGGCAAAAATGAGAAAAAGGCCATGTAAATATTAACAACACTGTTTGTGCATGTAAACCCTTTCACCTGTTTTGGTTTGTTCCAGCCTGAATTGGGGTGTGGCTAAATGTATAAAACATTTGGGGGGGGGGTTACATGGTGAGGTTTTAGCTGTCTGTGTGACTGTCTGCTCAGCCTTGCGGCTTCCAGATGGGTGAACGTGACAGACTGTTAGTCTGGTGGAAAGAGTGGTTGCAGGAGATTGGCCAAGGACCCAATAGAGTCACTGCAGCAAAGAATGTTTTAAATACAATGGAGAGTATAAATACTTTCTTCAGGTTGGGTGGGTAAGCACCCAAGGCAAATTTAGATCTCCTTTCCTGCTCACATTACCCTACTACAATATGAAAGTGCCTATTTGTAATACTATGTTTCATATGTATTATATATGTTAGTGTCTATATGTAATAGTATTCCCCATATATGTAATATAATATATTTAGTAATCTATATGTGAAATGTCCCATATGTATTATATGTGTGTATGTACCTGTGTGTAATAATAATATAGTCCATTTGTATCACATATGCAAGTAGATATATGTAAATTATGTACATATTAATGCAGTACTAATGTTCAATAGGTATATATATATGTAGTAATAATGTCCCATACGTTTTAAAAATATGTAAATGCCTATGTGTATATATATATATATACATATATATAGCTGTTGTCGGAAAAACCTCATATCTCCAAAATAAAAGGAAAAAACGTACTTTACTTTTAATGTAAGTCAATGGAAGCAGATTTTTTTCCAAGTCATTTTGAGCCATTTGTTTTGGTCCATTCCTCATGAACTGTACACATAATGTAAAGAGCGACAGGCATTTTCAAATTACAAAGTCAGCACTATTGTGTCGCTTCTGCATGTCAGCTCTGCTTTTCTGTGTTTTTTCTACATAGTTAAGACTTTTTGTCCTGGAAGTGTATGAAAACAAGCACATGCACACACACTTGTTTTCACTACTGGTGGCCTCTTAAAGACTTCCTTTCCTGTCACAATAAGTCTGCAGTGCCAGTGGCAGGCTGAATATTCTCGTCCTGTCCAGCTTCCTGCCTTTTGTTTCAGAGGGAGAGTCCGTTCTGCCTCGTGCCAAAGTTCATTTGCTCATTTGCATCCGTCTCAATAGCACGTAAAGTGATGCTGCTACGCAGGAGCTCAATGCAGCTCTTTAGGAAATGCCTCTTTATCTCCTCAAAAGAAGGCCAGTAGGCTACAGGCAACATTTTTATAAAGACTATGAGGTTAGCATGCAGCAGAACCGAACATTTTGTTATTGCAAAACAGAATAAAACAAATGGCTCTGACCTATAAAAAAAAAATGTCAACTAAGTCAAAGTATGGACGCTATGTCTGAGTCGTAGGAGATGTTCAAGGTTGCTCCTCATTAGTGTAACGTTGGAAGAGACTAACAGGCAGGACTCAAGTCCTTGGTTATATTAAAAATTCATGACACAAAGGTATCCAAAGCACACAAGCAGGGGTATAAATACACGCAGGGTGGGGCTACAGACAACAGACAGGTGAGACAGATAATAAGAAGGCTGGACCAGTGACGAGACAAAGACCGAACAACAACAAAAGCACATGGCTGACATAAACAAAAGCACATGGAACAAGAAAACAAAGGCTGAAAAAATAGCACAGGGCAAGACAGGATGTCACAATTGGCTCAAAGAGGTTACAAAATAATATCTGAAGAGTTTGGAATTCTCTGCCCTGCAAAGGTTTGGCGACCTGTCCAGGGTGTATTCTGACCGCTGGGATAGGCTCCAGTGTCCCCCTGTGACTGTATATATGTGAGACTTTGGAATTCACCGTACAATGTCAGGCAGATTAGTGTACAAAAAACATTTAACACCTTCATTATTTTCCCCAGGAGGGGTCTTTAACAAAAATCGCACAAAGAGAAAGTATAATATTCTGGGAGATCAAAAACAACCCCAGATTGACATCTAAAGGTCTGCAGGCCTCTCTTGTGCTAAAAAGTTTACCAGTTGGCAAACGCTGAATAAGAATAGTATGGGATGTGAGCAGGAAGGAAGCCGCTGCTCTCCAGGAAAAATGGCACTGCCTGTGTAGAGTTTCCTAAAGACCACCCGGATGAACCAAAAGACTACTTAAGGAATGTTGTGTGGATGAATAAGACAAAAATAGAACTTCATGGCTTAAATGGTGAAACGTTACGTTGCATTCCAGCATAAGAACATCATCCTGTAAACTGTGACCTGTGGACCACGGTGGTGGTGAAGTGTGTGTGGTCTAGAGTGTAGGTGCGCTGGTGCGATGTGGCTATTTTTCCTTTGTTTTTTTTTATCATTTATGTGTATGTTTTGATGGTCCCCACAGGCTCATGAGTTCATATCATGCATCTCATCACACACAACCAGATGTACAAAAGGTCATACACTATGTTAATAATGACCTTTAAACTCATGTATTCAAGCTTGAACACTTGCGATCAGATTTCTCTATCCAATGTTGGGGACTCAAATAGATCTCTTTTTGCAGAATGTTTACTGGTAATGTGTATTAGACTAGATTTTCCTATAGTGCTGTACATCTCCAAAACTGTGAAAAAAATAACATATTTCATACAGGCAAACTGCATTAGAGCCATCGGCTATGTTTTGTTTGCATGCAAGCTAGCTGGCAGGTAATGATACTTGAGCTTGCCATAGCTAACTAGATGGCTGTACTTATGAGATAATGAGGGCAATTCCACATAGAGAGAGAGAG